AAGAAAGCCTCCATGCCAGGTGTCACACTAGGTGCCTGGGATCTAAGGGCAGCTAAGACATGGCCTCTTCTTCTCAAAGGGTAAGGGCACAGCCACATAAACAGAATACTAACACCACCAGGTGAGGACTGGAAGAGGGGCACATTGTGCAACTACATATAGGAGGGTACATGTAGGAATAGGAGAAACCATTCATTCTGTCTGGGCTATGAGAAGACACTCACAGGTTTCTGAGCTGGACTTTGAAGGCAGGGGAGGAGGATATGCGCAGGAAGAAAAAGGGTCTAGCAGACAAACAGCACAAACATGGGGCAATGAATGTGCAAGGCTCATCTAAAAAAGGTGAGCAATTCCTTTGCCTGGGGTAGAGTTTGTATAGCACTGCTCACAAGGAATATCAATTTTCTCTCCGAATCTCTCAGTGTACTACCAAGCAGCCATAATTCCGATATTCTTCATTCAAACTCCAATGGGCTTCAAGAAAATAGATGAAAATTCCATATTAAAAAATGATGCCAGAATTTAAAAAGAAATGTTAGTGCTTTAATAATGTCAATCAACAAATATTTGAAGAACTGCTATCTGTAGTATGAACATTGGGTTCTGTTCTGCTTCTGCCACTAATCAGCTGTTGACCTTGAAAAAAAATCACTAAATTACTCTGTGTGTATTTTCTCATCTCTGAAGTGAATAGATTCCATCTAGGAGGTTCTTTCTCACTCTCCCAATGTATGTGTTCAATGAAACAAGATAAAATCTCTCAAAAACATCAAGGAGAGGAGCAATAATCAAAAATGGCTTCACCAAGACTGATGGGAAATCCCCAGGAATTCTTGACATCCCCCCACATCCGCCCCAGCAGCAATGCAGGAAATTTAGTCCACTATCTCCAGCAGACGCAATGGAACCATTTCCTTAATGAAACCCCCCTGCAGTCCCAGATGTTAAGCCAGAGGCTTTCCTTTCAAGCTCTCCCTCAATTACTCCATTCCTCCCATTTCCTTCCTCTCCCTCAATCTGGTATAAAATCCAGTAATTTAATCAGCAGCATGCACTTTCCAAGCACCCAAGTATGTGAGGAACCACTGGTAATCCTGAAAAGCATGTGGGAGGAGATCTTGTCATTCCAAACCAGCTCATCAGTATGCTAAGGCCAATGAAATGGAATGGATTCTTCCGTTCTAGTAAACTGGTTAAACCCAATGCAACAGATGCTTCTAATGCTTTGAACCATTCCTAATAATATATTTTTACTTAAAAAAAAGGCCAGGTGTTATTTCAAATGTCCTTCCTCCCCTATCCACAATGACAAATACTCTAAAAAATTACATTTATTTGATATCCAACAAACTCCTGACCCAACTGAACCAAGAATCTGACTAACACCAGCAAGCTTTGCATTTCACACTCAAGTGCCAAGAGAGCTTCCCTCACTGGCTCTCCATTCTTATGCCCATTCACATACACATCTCAACTTAAAGCTCTACAGAAGCTCTACTGCTCTGTTATTTGTTCTTGCTTTGCAGAACTCCCCAAGGCAGAGTAATACCAGCCATAACTTTGCAATAGGTTGGATAACCATCCTCAAGGACATGCCATTTTTTGGTCAATATAAAACCATTTTTTTTGCAACATATCATTTTCAACCTTAATATCCAATGCTTTCAAAGTAGATTTAGAATGTCTCAAGTTTTTGGTAAGGAGAATAAAGTGAATATTTGGTTTGTTCTAAAAACTAATATAAAATAGAGGTTTAGTGTCATCATTGAAATCTAAACTTCTTTTAGAATAAAGTGAGCATTAACAATGATAATATAATAATAATAAAAAGAAATGCATATGGGTTTAAAATGACTGGCATCCTTAGAAAAGATAATGTAACTAGAGTTATACATTCTGCTAGTAAAAAAAAAAAAAGCCCAAGATAATTATTACTACTGGATTGTGCATACTCTAATAGCTTAGCTCCTGCAACCCATTAAAGACCAAGTTAATTGGTGGGTCAGGTGCATTCTACTAGGGAAAAAGAAAATACAGTGTGATTATTGATAGCAGGAGAAACCTGTTCATCCTTCCAGTTTCAGCTCTAGTGTCACACGGTTTACTATCCATTCCTATGCAAATGTAGGTAAGGGGAGGAGAAAAAGAGACACTGTGTTCAGCCTACTTCTTGGCATTGTTCATTGAAATTTAGAGTTGGGAAAGGGTCTTAGAAATAATCTATTCTAACTTCTGAATTTTATATATGAAAATAGAAAAGCCTGTTTCACTTAAGTTTCACTAGAAAAGAAATGGATAGCCTTTTATAGAATTTTCAACAGGGAAAGAAAAACTTCAAATAATAATAAACAAGTAAGGTAAAAATATTGAGGAACTAGAGTAGGTGACTACCTACAGTTCATCTGCAACATGATCCATCAGTTGGAGAACTAGTGGATTGCCAAGTGCTATAAATAAAGTTTTCAATATGCAATTCAGAAAAACACAACCAAAAAGGTGTGGCTGCATAAACCTTGGGGAAAACAACAAAAATTGTTATGTAAAATTAGTTTTATTATGAGATTTATTACATTCAATTTGAGAATGGGTGTTATTTTCAGGTACATTTTGATTTAACTTTATGTGATTAATGTAGACTTCCCTCACAAAATTCACAAGCATTTCCAGTTAGTTACAGCAAATTGTAAATGCTAGTTGCTCAAAAACTCAAGAAACACGGGGCCAGAAAAAAAGGTCTGCGGCTTTAATCAAGGGCATGGTGACTTAAAAGTAAGATAAGGAGACTGTGTGTGGAGTAAAGGAGGCTGGTATCCTTTGAAGAGGAAGACACTGCAATACAGAGTACGTACTTGAAAGTATCTGAATTATTGGCTTTTTTTTTTATTTCCCAGGATGTTTGGAAGAAGGTAAATACACTTTTTGGGAGGGGGGATGCATTATCTTTTTGTATTACTGAGCATCTGGTTATTTATCCTTCAAGGCACACCTGCATATCATTCACCCACAGTAATAATCACTGATGAATACACAAAGGATATATAACAATCGAAGGTGAGCAGACCCAGCTCATGATGGGTGCAAGTGGACTCCTGATAGATCCACTGGGCAGAAACTTGGACCCCTTCTGGGCCGTCTTCCCAGACTGCAGCCCCTCCGTTCAGTTGGAAAGTCCTGAGTTGGTCTAGAGCAGGTAGCAACTGTTTCTGTTAATCAGCCAGAGAAGCCTGTGGTCTGGGAAGGCAGGCTTCGCAATTTCAAACCCCAATAGCTCCTTAAACTGGCAGGTAAAGGGGTTCTCACCTTGCCAGTATTTTGTCTTTCTTTCTTCCTACAACACATGCAAATTTTTTAAAAACCACAAACGAGTTCCAAGATTCCTGCCTCCTTCTAAGTAAAATAATATCTAAGAGAAATCACAAGAGGATCTTCTTAGGGTTCTGCCAACCTTCCACGGATCTAAGTGGTCCCTAATCACAAAGAGAACTATACTTCACTGGTTGACCACAGTTTTGAAACAAAAATAAAGATATATCTGTGCAAAGCAGAAGTCAATTAAATATATATTCTTCCCTCCATTTTTTGGACTTACAGTAATTACCTAGATTTACCTTTACATAATAGATAGACTGCAGTAAGTTATTTAGATGCTCTAAGCAATTGTTTTTTAAAAAGCGACTTTTCAAAACGAAAAAATGCATTTTCGAATTCGAACAGCAATATTTCATTTCAATCGTTATTTTAGCAACTTTTTCCAACTGACAACGCGGTTCTCCGACATTAGGACTGGGCTGTGCCCTCGGGTTGTTCACCAATCTAATTGGAACTATAGCTTGTTATTTAGAAACTGTCTAATTCGTCTTTCTACTGAGAAAATATTTAACTGCTACAGCTTTGGGGTTTAACAAGCATTTTTTTTTTAAAACAAAATATGCCCAACTGCACTGACTGTCCTTCCCCGAATCATTGCAGTAACTTATTTGATGTTACTGTCTTTTGCCCCGTGGGTCTGAAACCGCCGGGCAGAGACGGGATCCATTCGCTAAATCCCCTCGGGTTTGACGCCTCCTTGGGGCGGCCTCCACTCTAACCGCGGTGTGACCTCCTAGCCCCGACCATTCAGCCTCCAGTTTCTCTTAACACCCGGCAAAGGGGTGGATCGCACCAATCGCTCAAACCGCATCTTTTGGTCCAAACCATCCGCCCTTTCTTCGCTTGGAATTTAAAGGCTAGGCTTGCAATTCCGAAACTTAACGGTACTTGGGTTCTGGACTGCCCTCGCCGGCGCCCGGCGACCTTGGCGGGACCGGTGGAAGGCCCCCTTCTCCTCCCGTGGCTGCGCGCAGCGCGCTCCAGTCCGCGGTCCGGGACCCGCCAGAGGAGTGGGCGCTTGAGGAACGTTGCGTGGACAGTCCTAAGCGGGCCCTTCGTGGGATGAAGGATACCAGCTCTTGCCATCTCCGGGGACCTGTTTGCTCCCGGCAAGCACATCACCCCCTGCAAGCGGGCTCTCCTCCTTCCCTTTCGAGGCGCGAGGTCGTGGCCAGTGCCACCATCGCCACCGCGGGGCTCAGCCCAGCCCCCGGGCGGCCTCGCGGGCGCTCGTGAAGCCGCGGCGCCGGACTCCGGGGGCTCCTCGGACCGGCTGCCTGGGAACAGGTCTGAGTGTCCGGCAGGTCCCCGACCCCGGAGCCAGGCAGAGCGGGTCCGCGACTCCAG